CAGCAATACATAAGTAGATTAGTTATTATTCATTGGGTAATTATTATGTACATAACGAACAACTGTGTCATCGGGATCGGTTGCATGCGTGTGTTTCGTTGCATGTTTTACGTTAACTGGAGAATAGAGACATGCTGAGTTGAGAACAAATGAACCACTACTGTACTCATGAATAGTAAAAACTGCGGTAAATTATATTTGCACTTATATGTCTGTAGGGTCATGTACAATACATGACTACAGTCATAATAATAGCACTTGTCATATAAACTCCTATCTCCAATAAGCTCCCCTGTTAATTAAGCCAATTGTTAAAAATGAATCTTGTCTCTAGCATAGTGAAGGAGACAGTCCAACTCATAATGTAGGTTAAAAGACTATATAATATAATGTAAGTTTATAATTTATGGCGTCACGTTCTCAAATTGCTCCTATACGGAAGGTCTCTGCGGTTTAGGGAATTTCCAAAACTAAATCGGAAAAAATAACTGAGACCCCAAATATTCACTATAGCCTATTCTGAGGACAGTTTCAGCTGTTGAAATAGTGGAACCTAAGCTACATCATATCAAAACGACACTATAAAGGCTTAGCAGCAATATACGAGTTTTACTTTATGAGAATTTAGAAATGAATTGAAATAATCAACATTGGACTTCAAAGCAACGTCAAATATAGCGTTTATGTCTTAAAAATAAATATAAATAAATATACAAAATTACAAATGCACAAAAAAGCTTTCTGTAGGCCTATATTGTAGGAGAGACTCATCAGTTACCAATCCTGTATTCGTCTCCAACCACGGTGGTTGTCCTCAGAAAAGCGGTGAAAGATCTCTGATGGACCGTCTGTGCTGTAAATAATTATATTTGCATGTAGGGAGTGATTCATAAACATGTCACTGGTGTGAAATATGGGTAGGATTTCTAACTTTCTATTTTAAATGTCATGAATTATGGCAACGAAAAAATGTGTTCCCGTTTAATGCCGAGTACTTGGTGTCTGGTGCAATGGGCTATCCATCACGCCGACAATAAAATGAGTTTTTGCCTGACGTTGGAAATTTATGGTCGCCCTTCTACGCCCTAATAACTCACGCGCTGTGTCGGGAGCCTGACAGTCGTTGCTGAAAACAGCACCCCTGGTATCGATCAAAAAAAATACTTGCATAATTTTTACTTTTTTCTGATCAGCAGGACACTTAAATTAGGTGATATACGCTATGACGTTTTGGTTTGGGAAATATAGGAATAATACGATCTGCAAAAGGGGAATTAAATTACTGACTAATTGTTTTTGAGCCGTTTAGCTTGTGGAATTGGTAAAATGTCACAAGCATCTTATCATGTGAGTGACTTATTATGCAAGTTGTCGGGGAAACTATCATAATAGGGGTGGGTTGCATTCATTATATCTTGTTTAGATGTGGCAATTTATGTATATCATAATTTTGATTGAGCAAATTGAGCACCTCAATCTAAATCGAATGTCAAACTACTGCTTTTAGGAATTCCCTTGTAGGCCTCAGATAAACTGAAAATTAGGAGTTTGATATTTTTGGGACTTTGCATCAGTTCTTATTTTTCTCAGTTGCTTGAATTCTGGCACATAATGAAAAAGACAAGCAAGAGTAGACTACATTTTACACTATTATAAAAATATGTGAATAAATGTCATTTGAACCACAGTCAATATAAACAAACATTGTAAACTTTTCAACTCAAACCCCCCCAAAATATTTGATATTTTCTATCAACCCTGAATTACTGGCCCTTGGAGCCGCGCTGCCTAATCGAATGTGTCAGCATTCAGTTTTGGTGAAATATGATGACATGAGAGTTGTTTACTTTAGACTGAGGGATTGGTGTGAGTCCCAAACAGCACCCTGTTCCCTATATTGGCCTAGTACACTACTTTTGACCACGACCCATAAGGCTTTGGTCAAAAGTAGTGCACTATAAACAAAAAATAAAAAAGGTTATTGAGGGGTGCTTTGTCAGGGGTGAGGGTGATATGTGTAACCATTATTATTTTTTTGCATATCAGGAAGGGTTCTTTACTGCTGTGATGGTTGTGAAGGACCATCCTGTTCTTTCCATCTCCACCATGTCTTTGTTTTATGCCATGAAATGCTATACTGTTAAAAAGTTCCTGTAATTTTACAGAACACTACAGGCTACTGGTTGCAGTGAAAGTATGGTTAACAACAACAAGTTACTGTATTTTGTGTATTTGTGCCAACTGTCAGTGGAAGTGTTGTACCAAGTGGTTGTTGGTTATGTTGTCAAAGGTTAACTGCTATTAACTTACTTGCAACTAGCTTCCAGTAAATTACTGTACTTTCAATGAACTTTTATGATTACAAGATATAGCCTAACATTAGTTGACAACTACTAAGCATTCTTTGTGGTGAGCACACTTGGGACTCAGCCTCACCTGGCCTCAACCTCTTGGTTTGCAGGAAACTGACCTTCCTGCCACACAATCAGACCAGTGCGCATGACAGATATCAGTCACAGTAAGTTACTGTGAATTTTACAATAATCACAAGCTGACAATACATTATTGGAAAATAAACATGAACTTCCGGAAGTTACTGGAAAATGCACAGAAACCTTTAACAGTGCAGTTCTTGATTGTCACAAGCTCTTACAAAGACTGTTGAACTGGGAGTGGACAAATGATGTGGTCAGTCTTCATCAACATAACAATAAAACAACTTAAACTGGTACAACACTTCCATTAAAGGTTGGCACAAATACAACATATTTTAGACCATGCCCCCTAATATGCTAATGAGCCACCACCAGCACATTGCCCCCACCTACATTTCAAAGTGCAGTAATGATTGTACCTTATATTTAATATATTGGGTAGAAAAAATACCTTTATACTAGATTTTGCACACATTTATCCTTAAAGTTACTGACCAGTACCATGTGATTACCTAACAGTGTGTGCCATAAGCGCATCTGAAGTATCCTGTAAGTATAACTGTAGAACCTGTCATTGGTTCTACCTGGAACCAGAGGGTTCTCATGAGAGGGTTCTAAATGGAACTCAAAAGGGTTACCCTACAGGGACAAATCAAAGGGTTCCTCCATAGGGACAGATGACAAAACCCTGGAACCAGAGGGTTCTTCATGAGAGGGTTTTGTGTAGAACCCAATTGGTTTGCCCTACAGGGACAAAACAATGAACCCCACGAGGATTCCTTGTGAGTGGGTTCTAAAAAAATCTAAGGGTTCTCTCAAAAGGGTTCCCTCATAGGGACAAATGACAGAATGTCTATTGGTTCTAATATATTAACAATCTCTATCATATCAACAGACCTGGTGGCATAGCAGGAAAGTCAGGTCTCTGGCAACCAAGAGGTTGTGAGTTCAAATCCCAAGTGAGGTTGACTCCCAAGTAGTGAGAATGCAGCAGCATACTATCTGTTACAGCAATACCTTAATCCAGCTCAATATGAAAAAAAAAATGTATGCACTCACTAACTGGAAGTCGCTCTGGATAAGAGCGTCTGCTAAATGACTAATATGTCTAAAATGTCTCAAAATACTGGAACTTATTATATATATATATGTAGCTGGGAAATGTTTAACAGTGTAATGAAGAACCCTCTGGTTGTAACAGTGTAATGAAGAACCCTCTGGTTCTAACAGTGTAATGAAGAACTCTCTGGTTGTAACAGTGTAATGAAGAACCCTCTGGTTGTAACAGTGTAATAAAGAGCCATACAAATGGTTATTCAAATAACCAATATAAAACAGTCCTCCACAGCTCAAAAAGGGTTCCCTAAAGGTACAAAATAAGATTAACTTTTTTTGGTACTACTAAGCACTTTTTTTTTTTGTGTATCGGGAATATGGTTCCATTTGGAACGCAACCTCAAGAATTGGAAAGAGGATGAGGAGCACATTCTATCTCCTCTCCTCCCTCACTCTCTCTATCTCCTCTCTTCCTCTTTCACTGTGACTGCTACTGCTGCAGATGACCTGAATCTAGACAACTGACAAATAACTAGTATAGGGCAAAATGGACAGAAGACAGAGAGTATGATTGAAAGAGGTGTTGGGAGAGGATGGGGGGGGGGGGGGGGGGGGGGGGGGGCAGTAAATTATATTGAAAATGTGGGACATCCACATTCCACGCTAGTGCCACAGCACGCTGATGTTAGCGAGTGTTTGAATGGAGAATAACTAACCATACTGAAAAACCCTAAGCATTTATCTTCGACGTTTTATAAGCATAACTATGTGTTGGCAAATCCTAGAACATAGATATACTATATGTCTTAGGACAATAAAATGACATTAGTGAAAATTGTGCTAGACTTTGGCCTAAACTATTATTACATTTATTCTACATGCATAACATGTTTACAACAACACAACTTGCCATAAAACGTACAGACTCATATGTCCATGGTTTAAGTAATTCCCAGGATATTCTTTGAAAACAGTATATTCCATCCATAATAGTCCTCCCATACACTCCCTAAATGTAAATGTTCAACGCGCATATACAACACAACAATAAAATAAGATCCATCGACTTGACAAAATAATACAGTACACCCGTTTGAGGAGGCGACGTCACATTCCCTTGACCCTCCAATCACTTCAGTGGCTCATTTGATTGGAAGGCGGCAACGGCTTTAATCTCGAGACTAATTCAGATGCTGATGAAGGGAGGAGAGTATAGGCTACATCCGACGTAGAGAGAGCAAGCGCACAGACGTGCTGCTGCCACTGTCACACTCACACACAGCGACACTGAAGAAGGATGCAGCCGAGCCACACATTCACTCCTGCTGCGATATGAACGGGATATGTTCTGATCTTCTCTGCCTCTAATAAGGATTATAAGAAGTTTATCTATTTATTGGTTTTATTTCGAACTGCGGTGCTATAGAATTACATATTACTTTGATTAGGTTTTTATTCCTGAAGAACAAATGTAGGCTATTTTTCTTCCATTTCAATGAGAATTGGGTCATGATCACATCGCCCGCATTTTCTGTCCTGAGAAATAGTATCGCGAATCCGGTGTGGGAGAACAGTTATTCAGGGGAGAAGAGCGCAGCGAGAATAAACAAGCCATTTCTTCACTTCGTATCTCCCTCAGACCCTTTACGGCAGGCTAATCGTATACCCATAAAGATTTTGAAAATGCTTACCGCACGGGGAGGACACATTTTGCACCCGGAGTACCTTCAACCTTTGCCATCAACTCCTATCAGTCCCATCGAGGTAAGCACTACGTTGGCCACAGGCTACAGGGGACGGGATAAAAAAGGGATTGCAAAAGTGTGATTTTGGGCAGTTATTACTTTTGAATGAATGTTTTTCTATCTATGTTTTCAGATTTCAAAATATCGGTACTATTAGGGCATTCGAGTTGTGTCTATATACGTTTATTATCATATAGTTATTGTAAATTGAACTGCATTCTTTTGAAAAAAAAGGTTATGGATAGAACCCAAAAGCGTTCTATGATTGCTTCATATATGGCACCCCTAAAGATTCTAACCCTTTGATCGAACCCAAGGGGTTTTTCTTCGCTGAACCAAAATTGGTTCCATATAAAACCCTTGGGTTCCATATAGGGTTCTATATGGAACAAATGTCGGTTCTATATAGAACCTTAAGGGGTGCCATATATGAAGGCTATAATAACCTTATGCGCAATGCGTTAAACTCGTGCGTAATTAACGGAGTTCTCCAAGGGCACATAATACACTGAATAAACATGAACATATTGTTTGGTTTTGAAACACCCCATGAAAAAAACATTACAGTCAAAACTTGAATAATAAATATTATTTTATCTTATTTCGCAGCTGGACGCCAAGAAAAGTCCGTTGGCTCTCTTGGCACAGACCTGCTCACAAATCGGCAAACCAGACCCTCCGTCCTCTTCCAAACTCTCATCTGTAACCTCAAATGGATCTAGTGACAAAGAGACCAAATCCGGACCACTAAAAATGAGTGACATTGGAAATGAAGACAAATCTAGCTTCAAACCATACTCCAAATCATCGGAGAAGAACAAGGACTCCTCGTCCGGCAGTGGTAGTCTGAGTGGAGATAAAGCTAGTTTCCGAGTGCCTAGCGCCACCTGCCAGCCGTTCACCCCCAGGACAGGCAGCCCCAGCTCCTGCCGCTCTGTGTCTCCGCTGCCATCTGAGGGTAAGCAGGGAGACAAGGACGAAAAGAATAAGGAATCTGATAGTAATAAAAACAGTACACTGGAGGGAAACGGAAACGGTAGTCACAGCCGGATATCTGGGATTAACGGTGAGGCTAACCAACACCAGGAGACCACTTCTGGATCAAAGGCTATCACATCAGACTCACTCACATCTGTCTCCTCTGCATCATCTATTCATCTTCTGGGTTCAGGAGGACTCGTAGCGCCCGTCTCCCCCTATAAACCTGGGCACACCGTTTTCCCCCTATCGCCTGCTGGCATGTCCTACCCTGGAAGTTTAGCAGGTACATACGCAGGCTATCCCCAACACTTTCTCCCTCACGGAATGACTTTAGACCCGACGAAATCTAGCAGTCAACTACTTAGTGCTCAGTTCGCCGCTGCCAGCCAACTTCAGTGCAATAAGGCTGGGAGCCCGTTGTCCAGGGCTTCTCCTCCGTCCCTAATGTCTGCTAGCCTGTGTAGAGACCCGTACTGCCTGAGTTATCACTGTGCAAGCCACTTATCCGGTGCTTCCAGTGCCTCACAGTGCCATGAGTCCTCGGCTCTGAAGTCAGGATACCCTCTCATGTACCCAACTCACCCTTTGCACGGCGTGCATTCCTCGCCGCCATCTTTTGCTGGACACCCGTTATACCCCTATGGCTTTATGCTCCCAAATGACCCTCTGCCACACGTCTGTAATTGGGTGTCGGCTAACGGACCTTGTGACAAACGGTTTTCTTGCTCAGAAGAGCTTCTCAATCACCTAAGGACTCACACTGCTTTTGCGGGGACGGAGAAGTTGATATCAGGATACCCAGGTTCATCATCACTAGCCAATGCTGCCGCGGCCGCAATGGCTTGCCATATGCACATGCCTCCAAACGGGGCCCCGGGCAGCCCTGGAACGCTCACCCTCAGGAGCCCGCATCACCCTCTGGGACTGAGCACACGCTATCACCCCTATTCAAAGAGCCCCATGCCCCCCGGCGCGTCGGTTCAGATGCCCGCTGCCACAGGTCCATATTATTCTCCCTATGCATTGTATGGACAGAGACTCACCACGGCATCAGCGTTAGGATACCAGTAGAAGATACAGACAGACGCATAATAACTATACATTTATAAGGGGATTTTAGGCCTAAAGGACTTTTATATTGGTTGTATTTCATGCAGGACGGGATCCGTGGGCTCAATGTATTTATTTGCGATAGCTCCAAGCGTGACAAAAATAAAAATAATTATAATATAATTTGTAAGAGGCTCAAGGTGCATTCTTTTTTACAATTAAGGTATAGGCTATATTGGATGATGCCATTTTAGATGTTACATTGAAATTATGTTGTTTTTAAAAAGCTCAATTTGAGAGTTTTATGTTTCCTACATACTAAAGGCCTATTAGTTATATTTTCATTGGAAAGCAGTAGCCTATTTTGGAGTCTGGTGTGCCTTTATATAGGTCTACCGGCTACCGCACAACGCAAATAACTTTTCCACATTAGGCTAAACCTTAGAATGACATGTTTAGTTAATTTTGATGGCAAATTGGGCTATCTCATATTTCTTCATAAATTAAATGATTAATTCCACAAGCTAAATCAGGCTTATGAATCTGGTAGGTTGTTTATGAAATAAATAATTCTACCTTGAGTATTACTTTACTTATAATGATAAACACTTGAGTATGTGAGACATAATTGGTCTGTTAAAGAATAGACGCCATTTAATTTGTGGAATTGCATTTAAGATGTGTGTAGGCCTATTTCCATTTTAAGTCTGTGCGGTATACACTTGAGTAACATTTTAATCACATTTCGATACCTTTAAGACTGTAAAATATATTTGTTAAACTTTTTAAATAGCTAAGCCAAATAGCAGCCTACTGTCATCTGACACAGATGTATTTCGCCACTCAATTAGCAATTGGGTAATTTATCGTTGGAGTAATTTAGACAGAAATAATCTATCTCTGATATTCATTTGAACATTCCATTAGCAAATTCAGCACTTGTTTTTCACAGATCATATTTAGCCTATCTTCGAACGAATGATGGTGTCAGTCTGATAACATTAAAATAAGGAAGTGATCTGCTTGTGCAGTTCTAAAACATGCAATATCAGCAGCACATTGTGAAATAACATTAAATCTAAAAAGTGACAACCCAAACAACATTAATTATTGTTTTGCGTCTTGTTCTCGGATAAAATTAGCCCTATTTGTCTGAGCAGAGAGTTCACCATAAAGGAGAAGTGGTTATGGGATACATTTATACGTTTTTTATACGTATACGGGCGGCAGGTGGCTTAGTGGGTAAGAGCGTTGTGCCAGTAGCCGAAAGGTCGCTGGTTCTAATCCCCGAGCCGACTAGGTTGAAAAAATCTGTCGATGTGCTCTTAAGCAAGGCACTTAACCCTAATTGCTCATGTAAATCGCTCTGGATGAGAGCGTCTGCTAAAAAAACAATTAGGCCTATACATTTAGTCAGTGTAAAGATTTCGTTTATTGTGTAGGTTATAGGTCTTAATAGCTACGTCTTGCTCTGCATATTGACTATTTCACTGACTAGATCAACACATTTCTCGTGGAGTCATAACTATTTTTTATTTCTTTTAAATGCTACGTTTTAGGTTGGCTTGTGGGGCCTATATTCTGTTTCGTTTAAATGTTAGGTCTATACTTCATCAACTTGTTCTAAAGAAAACCAAACGTGTTATGGAATATATGTTGCTGCATTGCTCCATACCATATGTCAAGCCAACACACGTTTATATTTTCAACCTACAGTTATTAAATGTCAATCAAATGACTGAGAATAAAACATCTTAAATCAGATGGACCACTCCATAAGTACGCATGTATTTTCGATACAATCCTTGCACAGATGAAATACCCGAGGCACTCAAGATGACATAATAAACCATAATGAGCGGGATGAAATATTTTACAGCTACCTGATCATTTTCATAGCATACAATAAGTCACATCAAGTGTAGGCCTATACTGGTTTGAGATGATTTTTAGGCTATTACATAACACACTGGGAGGGAAGGGGTTCCACTTGTTTTATGATTCTATAATCTGGAAAACAAAAACCTCTTCATCCTGCTCCTGAAGAAACGGACGGCTCTGCTGCTGAAGCCTCTTTATGCACAGTATAGGCATATACACACGCGCACATCAGGCAACCAGGCAGTACACCTACTTCCAATTGTATGACGCATCAGGCAACATTACAACTGTTATATATAATTGTGTGTGTGTGTGTGTGTGTGTGTCAATATAAACACATACATTACATCTCTTGCAACATTGTATTCATTCATTTAAACGTTGCCAAATTATGAGATAATGGATTATACCATATTTTAATAAGAAATAACAAAATGGCTGCTGTGGTAGACAATGATTTATGATGTCACCCCATGTGGGACATTTCCACAGCTTTTATGATTGCAGTAATGAAGGTGTATAAAGCAGATAGCATGAAATGAAGCAAGGCCTAACACATTTAATCATCTCCTTCACCACATCTATAGAATCAAGCAAACGATGTCATTACCCATCCCAAAGTAAATCACAGCTATTCCCAAGAGATAAAATCAACATCATTAATGGTCACATCCACCGCCCCTTTTCAACAGATTAATTCTTTACCATCGCTCTCTCCCGTGATGTATGGTAATGACGCTTGTAGCCCACAACTCACAATCCCAACCAGACCGTTTTGACGATATGCGGGGCCTCGTTCTCAATTACAAATGGCACATCAATGTGATATGGAGAAAAAAATGAGAATATATGAGAATGTAGGCTCTTAACTTTTACATTATGTCACTCGTGTTGATCATGTATCTTTTCACGTTTTGGGGACTTCCTGGTTTTCGGGACTTCCTGGTTTTGGGGACTTGTCTAGTTTTGGGGTTGAACTGTGAGATTGGAGAAGCAGTTCCAAGAGCTATACCATATACAAATACACAAATAAACATATATACATAAACTGCACATACATACACATGTATGTATGTATACATTGTGCAAAAATAAAAAAGCTGGAAAAAAATATATATACAGTATATATATATATAATATAATATGTATGTTCTGAGCAAAGTAAAGGCTCTGGTCCAGAGACTCAGGGATAACCCTGAACATCTCTGCTCAATACATTGGGAGAATCTAAACTCCATACTCCTCGCATCCTCTCTCCTCGCCTCCTTCTCAAAACCCATTGGATGAGAAAGCCAGAGGTGTCTCTGCTCTGACCTTCTCCTCCAATGGGTTTTGAGAAGGAGGCAAGGAGAGAGGACACGAGGAGTATGCAGTTGAGATTCTCCCATAGTCTTCCCTGGAGAGTGACCTGAATGACCTTTCCTTGCCTCCTCTCTTTTCTCTCACATCCCATCCTACCTACCATTGGTCCTCTCAATCACACTGAAATGACAGAATCTGCTTTTCCACACGTTCTCAAAGTGAAATATAGTCTGTACATGAGCGACTAGATGGTTTCCTGCCTTGCTTAATCACTCTCCAACCTACCACCTGTTTTGCTTTGAACGTCAATGCTTGGAAGATTACTGGCCCATTTTGCCTTTTGGCCCAGAGAACATAGCAGTGTACAATGACGGGTCACAGACAAATGCTGACATTAAGAATGGTGTATGTAAGGGCCGGGCCGGGCCGAGCCGGGCTGTATGCTATGGGCATGCCCATCATTTGTGCTGCACAGCTGCACACCATGTGTTTGTGGGTGTGTAGTGTAGTCAATATCTGTAAGCTGTTATTGTTGAAGGCATTGGGACGTCATAAGGTAATGCCGTTTGAAAGGCTCTGGTGACACCTTAAACAGTTTGATAAAGAGATATCATTCTGGATGCGTCCCAAATGGCACCCTATTCCCTTTATAGTGCACTACTTTTGTGCAAAAGTAGTGCACTATAAAGGGAATAGGGTGCCATTTAGGATGCTTTCTGTTTCTTTGATGTTGTTGTTTTTTATCAGGGGGGCATTGGGTACTTGCTGTGAGATTCATGGGATCATTCATGGGATCATTCATGTTATCATTCATGGGATCATTCATGTTATCATTCATAGGATCATTCATGGGATCATTCATGTACAAAGCTACATTCTGCTTTTATCCACAAATGCTTTAAGTAACCTATCTAATAAAAATAATGATTGAAACTTCCAATACAACATTATTGGACTCCAGACACATTTTATTGACACATTTACTTTTATGCGGTTGGGATTCTGTGAATACATTTTTTGTAAGTTCACTCTTAGGATGCGTCCCAAATGGCACCCTGCTATTCCTTACATAATGCACTACTTTGACTAGGGCCCATAGGGCTCTGGTCAAAAGTAATGCGCTATATAGTGAATAGGGTGCCATTTGAGTCACACATTCTTACAGTACTATAGTCCTCTGTATAAATGACCTAATCAAGAGAAACCCTGTTTTTACCTAAACGTCAGCGGTGGTTTGGCTGGCCTGCTTGGATAAACCTTACATAATGGTTATGTACACTGATGGTCCTGGAAAGGAGACTGTTCACTGCTCACTGCTTCACTGCTTGCAGGCTCACTGTTTACAAAGGCATAGGAAAATAGATGACCTTTTGCATGTTCAATCAACTCACTGAGAAGTGTGTATTCAATCATCCTGAGAGAAGTGCTGGTTTATTTTAGCTGGAGAATGACTTTAGCTCTCCAAACAAGAGCCATATTAATCACCCGTTCATCACTTCCTGATTCTGACAGGGCAGAGTAAACCATCTGTGTCCCAAATGGTGCCCTATTCCCCATATAGTGCACTTTTGACCACGGCCCATAGGGATCTGGTTAAAAGTAGTGCACTACGTAGGGAATAGGTTTGCTTTTGGGACTCTAGCCAACCTCAAACCGGGGGAGTTAAACCTGTGTTTTACATCAAACAGATCACTCTGGATCAATGGTATGCTGCTGTCCCCTTCATATTAAATTCTATGGAAAAAAAATGTTATATACTATTCTATTCTTCTATTCTATTCTAAGTGAGACGTGTATATTCAGCCAAAATCCATAGCGTACATAGCATATCATATCTT